AGGTGGTTAAGCAATGAAAATTTATTTCCCTGCGAAAGAGTGACATTATGTAACCCGATTTTCCACGACGGGGTATATTCTGATGTCAGGAGGTCTACACCTTTACTGGTCTTCACTTTCTTGCAGTTTGACTTTGTCACTTACCCTGTGGCCACTCGCTAACTTCCTCAGAGATGATGTCTTCTGTCTTAATACAGAACGTTCTGTTAATATCATCGCCCACCGTTGCGTCAAGATGAAAACTCGGTGATTTATAGTTGTTTGTAGCGGTGTCCTCAGTGTCTTCAAATCTCCATCCTGTGGCCCACACCGTAGAATTTACTGTCACAGGACAGCCAACCTTTGCTCTGGGTATGCCATATGTCCCAGCAGGCCATGTTAAGGTCGCTGTTGATTATTGAGAAAAACGTGAGTGTATGTTGGACAGATGATACCTCGTAGAGCTCTGGAGATTAAAAAATAGACGAGCAGAGTAGTGACAAGTTCACAGTAGAACGTGTGGCAGATTCCAGTAAAGTTTTCGTCAGTGGTGCAAAAATTGTCTCGATTTTCGCGGAAACTGTTGTCTAACTCGACTACGGACGTCTCTGTAGCTTTTTTGACTACCATTTTCTCGGTGAAGAAAGCAGATTTTTGTCTCTGATTTTGTCTTTGTATTTGTGGTGTTCATGTTGGGCATACAAGGAAAACGAGACCACGGAAACGAAACGACCGGATCTAGAAGATGAAGAAAATTAACAGATGAATGAAAAATGGATGAATGTTAATGTTTGTGCACACATTTGAGACACTCGGACAAAAAAGAGAAAAAAGTAGAGAAAAAAGAGAGAAAAGGATAGACAAAAAAAAAAACATATCATTACTTAAAATCAGTCTTCTTTTCTTTTATAATTTTTCCTCTTTTTAACGGCCCACGCTTACGCTTTTAGCTCTTCCCGTTAATGACCTTTAGACCCCAAAATCACACACAGTACGCTTGGCCCGCCTGTGACGTCATCAATATCACTTGTATGTCTCGAGTTCGAACGAAGAACTTCCTTTTTCAATATAGCGACAAGTCGTTCCTTGTCTTAAATGTCTCATGGAATCTCGCATCGAATTCTAGACATAATACTTAAACGAAAGTGAAAAGAAACGGGAATCTCCAGTTAGGCTGATAGTGTTTGGTTTCTTTTGGGCTCAACGACTTTGGTAATATCTAATTTTATCAATTTGTCGCTCAATTACACTGTGATATCAGCCCTCGGTCGGAAATGTATCCCAGTTGCCTAATAACTACACGAACACAAAGCTGACGTCTAATTCTGTACCTTTACTGAATCGGTAAAAAAGTACATCACAAATTAATTAGTGCTGCTTTTTAAATTCTTCTGGGTTTTCAGTCAGATTCTCTTTTACACAGAACTTACACAGACACCATTATTGTCCCGTGAACATGTGGGAATACATAACTTATATACTCCAAACATCATACAATTGCCGAATAGTGCGGATGAGTTTCTAAAGAAACTGTGGTGCCACGTTGTTGGAGTGGGATATAACAAGATGACTTGGTTTGATCAACTGAGTTGATAATGAAAATTGGCTACAATAAAGGGTTTCTTCGGTCGACGTTTCGAGCGCTTGCCCGTTCGTCAGAGTGAGTATATACACAACTGCTAGTTGGGCAACTTACCCTCACTGTAACCCACAGCTATCCACAGGACAAGTATTGATTGAAAATTGTAAGGAAGTTTCCTCGCCATGTTTGAATTCAGCGTGAAACACTGTGTTGCGTGTTAGGGTTCGATATACTACTACAGACAAATGTGCGAATCAGACCAAGGGCTCTACACAACTGCTTTATTAGAACCTAATTATCTACATCGATAGATAGGGATAATCACGTGATTGCGGTCAAGGGTGTACTAAACAATAAAATGCAGATTATGTAATGGAAGGGCATTGGGGTCTACTAAAAGCTGCAAAACCGTGGGAAAAAATTCGTTCAAAACCGCCGCAAAACCGTCGAAACTGATGAGTTTTCGCATCCCAATTATCGAAACCTCAATCGGTTCCATACAGTGGTGACAATGGAGCAGAAGTTTCGCAGCTACAGCGAGTTCAGTGGAGGCGCTTAACTGCTGTTCAGATCGAAGAAAAACCAGAACCCAAATAGGAAAAACCGAAACCCACATCCAACACCAAATCCAAAAACCCGTCAGTAGTTTTGAAAACTTATGTTAAAAAACGGAAAATTTGCAAACGACGAACACCAAAAACGAAAAACCAAAGTTTTTGGGCACGAAAAAAACCGATCTTAAAAATTGCCAAAACCGAAAATCCCAATGTCCCCTTCTAACAGTCAAGGTATTAATCCAAATAGGGAAAAACACTTCACAATGTCGAACTTTACAATGAAACATATATGAGACTCAAGTCAATGCGGAACAACTGACTCAAAAGCTTCGGAATTCGACTGGTTTGCACAAGTTAAGTCTCGGGATATCTCCGTCGAGGCTACGGAGATCCAACGGATATTTTTGAAACTTGGGCCTTCTGGTCTCGGTGAACAAATTCCTCCACATTTTATTACATTAACTTTGATATTTATGTGTTTTAAATGAAATGGAAAATTTCCCGTAAAATACTTAAATCTCCTAACAATCAAATCATAGCATCCACACCGCCATGGAGTGAAATACGGCTGAACTACTCTTGTTCCTTGTCAAGGGGTCTGACATCCGGGATCCTAACAATTTTCCCACAGTCTCACCCAAAGTAAACTCGTTTTACGCATTGAAATTTCAGCAAAAAATCTAACCTACGACTGCATTTGGAACAGCTAAATGTTGTAAAATTTGTCTTTCATTTTTGATAGAAAAACTCCGTTACTGTTTTCATTTGGAATGAGTTGATATTGAACCGTTAAACACATCAATTACACGATGTGACTTTTTCAAAAACACTGAGTGAGAAAGTCGACAGGAAAGTTGGAAAGATAGTTTTAAAATGGCCATAGTGGGACCAGAGAATGAAACGTAGAGATTCAATAGCCTCCTTGTTCACTGGCCGTGGTACGAAAATACTCACTGGTGAAGATGAAGAGCTCCTGTCGGATAGCGAAGATGTTGAAGAAAGACTCTCACCATCGGAAGAGTCAAACCAAGCTGCACTCGTTGACGATTCTTCAAATATCTGCGGCATTATTCTGTCACATGAAAACTTAAGAAATGAGTCAAATAATACCGATTTGATCAAGAAAGTCAACAGAAAGAGAGGAAGCCCAGAAATACTAAATTCATTAACATCGCTGAGTAATCTTTTAGCCCGCGCTGGGAGGTCGCCTAAGAGTTTAACAAGAGAAACGGAATGTGCTATTAAACAACGGAGAAAACTATCATCTACTGCAGTCCAGGTAAGAAAAATAGATCTTACTTTAGCTTTTTTTTACATTAATATTTGGATTCAGTCTTTTAATTGTAGTTTTTGTTGTTATTATTTGCTGTCGTTGTTGTTTTGATGCAGTCAGCCGGGTTATGTAATTCAGTTGTTGTTGTTGTTGTTGCTTTTACTTTGATTATGGTCTGTTATAATAGCTAGGAGGTTGTCAGAGGTAATATCACAGGTTTACTGATCTTGCAAATAATCAATTTAAGAATCATAAACCATCAATCTACCTTCCACCATTTCTTTATCTCATTTAATTACATAAAACGTATATGTACCATTCCTTGAAACAGGAGAAAACACGACGCTATCGAGTTTTTTCAGCTTGATGATATATTTCATTATTTTTGTGTGAAATGGTCTCTTCCAGTGGAACGTTTTTAAGAATCAAACTTAAAGAGCCATTGATACTTTGGAGAAAGAAACTAAGGGTTGACTGTGATTATTTCTACAACTCTTGCGCCATTTTTGTAAGAGACAAATCTCCCATAGGTTGTCCCAGGTCATCGCGTCCATTGCGACTGCGAAAAAACTGGAGCTGCCTATCGACGGCTTCTTCCGCTCGCTACGCTGCCATGTTGTTGGTGGTATACTTTTTCGTAACCTAAATGATACAACTAAGGATTGGCAACCAGATTGTAGACTTGCGATAGAAAATGGTGCTTTTTGAGGACCATTTTTGGGTGTGTTATCGTTTGAAATCAGTGTTTTCCAGCGCATCGTCGATGTAGCTGCTTGACATCCGGAGCGTGATGCCACTGTAATTTCTTTCTTTATTTTTACGCCTTTCAGGGGGAGAAAAATGCCGGATTCGACGTGCTCTATCATAACATGAAATATGGAAACAATGCAAGCTGTAAGCTTGTTGAATTTGTACGCGAAAGGTGGGCGCAGTGTTTGGCTAAAATTTTGTCCTTGAGAACTTTGCGGTCGAGATGTGTTTAACTTGTGATTGTGAGTAATTTGTTTTCAAATTCTACCTTCGACTTTCAGATCTGCCGTGGAGGAAGTCTATGCTAAATCACTCTTGAAATTAGCGAAATCTGCAACTCAAGTGACACAGCTAGGGTAAGCCAGAGGAGGCTCTTCCTGTTAATTTTGCTTGTAATGAATAAAAAATTCTGTGGTTTTAAATTGTTCTGTTTTGGGAGGATGGAAGCTCGGAATTTTTTTCTGATATAAGCTCTTGCTTGTCCACGAGTGCTTACCGTCCCACAAGGTTAGCGAAGCTTAGGCGGGGAAACGTGGTAATTTCTCCCCTTACTGTAGAAATTGTATCATTATAGAAACCAAAAATTGTAAATTAAATTTGAATGTGTATCAAAATAACCACAATGGCCTGTCGTACTCCGCGGGAACTTCTTGTACTGTCTATTGGAAACCATAGTCGTTCATTTTAGCTGAGACTTTCACCCCTTACACGAAATGCACTAGCTTTTATTGTTTTCTGAATGTTGTTTATTTCTTTGCGGTACGCTCGTATATTAACTATGGCAGAAAGGGTTTGATTGATTCACAACGTTTCCTCGGTTGGAGTAATCCAGGTGGATTTTCTGACTCTAACTGGGGGAACTAATGTTGATTGAAATACAATATTTTTCACCTTTTTATATAAACATATTAGTCAGGAAAAACTTTTTTGAAGAGAACTTTCAGTGCCATTTTCCCTTGTCTGAGTCTGAAAAGACACAGTCATTGAGGACACGAGTACACATGTTGTTATTTTTTAACTGGACATCCAGTCGTAGGGAAAATATATATTTTTTTAGCTCTTTAGAGATATTTTACTAATAATAATAACTTTTATGTTGATAAATCTAAATAGAGATGTCAAATGTTGAAGTGTGTATGGCTGAAAAAATACTTTAACTAACAGTGAGTGAGATAAGAATCACTTGCATGAGTGGATTTTGGAAATAAGACAGATGCAAACTAGGGCTGCATTCGGCATTGTTTTGGTTGAAACCTATCCAAAAATTTTTTTGTCATGTAGTGGTATTTGGAAACATCTTTACTTGGTTGCACTGTGATGAGGATCATAGGATATAAACATGATAATATGGTGAATAATAGCTCAGAAGGTCCCGACTAATGCTATCAGAAAGGTTTTGATGTTGTAATAGCTATATCATTATAACAAGTGTTGTGTTCTGTTGTGACAAAACATGACCTTAAATATCTATTACATGTATAGTGCCAGAGGTTGTAAGCATTTCCTGGGTGTTTTCTGGTGGAGGAATAAAAGTAAAAGGGAAAATTTCCATCATTGGTTTTAAACTAATTTACTTTGTGTGCAGAGGTGTCGATAAGTTTTAAGGTAGAGGGCGAAAACTGCACAGTATGTGGCTAATGGAAGTTTGATCCTTGCTCTAACATTATTAATTACAGAGAAAATAGGTGGTGATTTTGCCTGATATAGAATACAAATTTTGCTGGTTGCCAAATCTTATTGCAACCCCTGGTGTGCATTTTTTAAAATGAAATCAGTTGAGGTATTTTTATTTTACTGCTATCCCTTAGTTAGGTTAGAGGGAGTGGCCTTTCTTGAAAAGCAAAATTGGAATCTTTGGCCCAATGTCTCCTCTTTTCTCCAGTTTAGGGTTTTTCTCCAAGGAAAGGGTAAATTGAAGCCACAACAATCTAAATGTGTTGATGTACAGCCTTTAAAACCAAGATTTACCTGATTTTGCAGAACAGAGCTTGCTATTTTGTAAAAAGGCATGAAACAAAGTTATTTCTTATTTTTTGTTTATTGTGAGTATTTGTGCATAAAAACCTAAGTTTCCCCTGATCTTTCACATGTATGTGAGAAAATTATAACAAATGAATCGTAAATAAAAGGTTATGTTTTTCTATCCGATAGAAGACCACATATATGAAAAATACATTTTAAGAAATTAACGTAATTGTATTTTCTGTTGTTCAGTTGTCAATCCAGTTAACGAACAGCTATAATGGTTTCAAACTGGCAAAGATTAATATACAGCTGCCTTTCTTCCTTAATTACTCCTATTAAGTCAGAAAAATGGAACAAAAATTGTATGCTTTCAACAAAGCATATCTTTGGCTTTACAAGAAACATTGGTTAAAAATCATGTTTCATACAATTTTTGTAATATGATTATTTTCATTAAAAGCTTAGAAACTGTAACATAGAGCCAAATTAACATTTCTTTTTCAAAGAGCTGAACATAAAGTAAGTCTGTAAAGTAATTTCAGACTTTCTATGCAAGTGAAAAGATAAACAATACATCTATCATGTTTTAAAAAATTTCTCAGTCTAATGAAATAATAAAATTATAAAAGATTACTTAGCATTTGCTTAGCTGAGCATCACTTGTTATTATGCAGTTATTTTTGTGCTAGATCAAATTTTCCACAGTAGCATCTATATATAATTATTACAATATGATATTTAAAGGACACTGAGTTCATATTGAGTATTACTGAATACCACAGTCTTATAGTTTAGAAACTGTCATGTCTCCAGATAAAAGGAGGTGACTTTGTTGATGAAAGTTGTTGTAAATTTTTTATTTAAATTTTTATGTCAATTGTGAAATGGCCATTCAGAGAGAAGATAAAATCAGATAGAGTACTGTATAAATTATCACACCCAATTGTACACTGAATTAAGAGTTGGTATTTGTGGTATATAAGATGTTGACTGAATAGTGAATTTGAAAAAGGAACATTTGTCTCAGCTAGGACTTAACAGAATCAATAGGGGGGTAGAAAGACAGTAAGTTAAATGTAGAGACAAAATAAATTACTGTGAAACTTCAAGTTTTGTGTACTGATTTAAGGAAAAAACTACTGCAGTCTGTGTCCATGTGTTGTGATAAAGTCCTCACAAAGTAATGTGAGTGTTGCTATCTTTGTTCTGATTTTCAGTTATGATTAGATGGTATTGATGATTGATATTATTTATATTTTGCAGCACCTTTGAGCCTCTCTGGGGAGTGCTACGGGTTGCAACCGAGAAGCTTGCAAATGCACATTTGCAAGTTGTGACAAGATTTCAAGATCTTATCAAAGAGTTGAAGGATTATGGTGACAAGCAAAAGGAAAGACACAAACAGGTTAATTTTTTTGGTACCTGCAGACATAACTGAATGAAAGTGTTTACAATGGGATCAATGAACGCTTTTCATTCCACTAATTTATTCATGTTTTTCTCGTTGCCATGCACCCACCAATAACGTAGCTCCATTTTCTGCCTTTAAAAGCACACACAACCCACAATTCCTCTATTCGCTCCGACGAAGGGCTAACGCTCGAAACGTCAGCTTTTGTAATCATTACGGTGGCCAATTTACCATTTCAACTTTGTTGATATATCCAAATTATTGTTTACAAAACAGTTCATTTGGTAATCATGTCTGCTACTCCCAGTGAGAGTAGTCTTGAAAAGGAGAGTGAAGAAGGGGAGGAGAGGGTAGTCTTGAAAAGGACTTGTTGCAGCCATCACTGATGATACGTGAACTTCACTGGAAGTCAGTATCAGTATCAAGTGAGAAGAAGTTTGTCAGGGGAGTGAGGAAGGGGAGGAGAAGGGTAGGATAGGGTTTGTATCTTATCTACACTTGTTCTTAATCAGCAAGTATGGTACTTGGAAACCTAGGTGTCAACTCCAGTGATTTTGGCAAGGTAGTATTCCCATGATGAGGAGTCTAGGCCCATTTGTTTAAAGGCCAATTATCGCTAACCAAGGGTTAAATTTTTATCCGGGCTCCTTACTCCTTTGTGCAAAAGCCTTTTGGGGATAGTTTTCCCTATTTTCTCCATAGCATCTAATCATCAGATTCTAGACAAAAACAATTATACTGAATTTTGTTTTTTTAAAAAGCTTTCACATCTGAGATAAGATTTCGCATTAACCTGCATAACCTGGCCCATTTCTCATTCAAGAAAGCAGTGATCTAACAAATGAATGAAATTTCTTTTTGTGTCAAAATTTTGTATTTTCAGGCTAAGGAAGAGTTTAGTAGCACAGCAGAGATTGTACAGATCATACAAACAATGACAGCCAATCTGGTCAAGGTAATAATCATTGTTTACATACTCTATTTTATAAATGCAAGATATTACAGATTGGTGAAACAAGATGCATCCTTTCTGCATATATCCCTACTGTTTGATTATATTTAGAACTCTCACGTGTTTTAATCTACACAGTCATGCTTGTTTTTATTCTGTGTGCACAGGCCAAGGAGGCTTACTATGCCAGGTGTCAAGAAGTTGAAAAATCAAGAAAAGATGGATCTGGTCCCAAGGATGTTGAAAAGGTTTGTTAACTGGTGAACTCCCATGAGTGATCAGGAGAGAATTTCTCCTTACAGTACCAGTATAATAATTATAAGGTCAAGCAAAAAAGTGATTAGAATAAAGAAAAATATCAGTTTGGGGATCATTAGTTGATTCTATACCAAATTCTGTGAACTACACTGTATCATTACAAGAATTGTATGGCAGACAGTAAGGTGAATTACTAAATGAGATCTTGGGGGCAAAAGGGTTAAGTTTGTAGATAGATTTCTGGAAATGTTACTATGAGACTCAGTTTACAATCAAGGCATCTAATGTTGGCCTATTCTTCTTTTGATAACATTTATGTTATACTTTGTACAAACTTTAAGTACATTGTATCTTTCCCATCCTAGTTTAAGGGTTACACTCTGAATTTATCTTTTTTTTTAACCCTTTTTCTTGAAGGAGTGATCATTTGATTAAATGTCTTTACTTTAAATACACTGATAAGCAGACAGGAGATGAGAACCAAGAAAATATCTTACAGGGGACTTTTTCTTGGAGTCGCTTCAAATTCTTGCACACATCCAAGAGAGAAATATCTGGTAACTATTTGGGAGAATCACCTTTGAAATACAAGGGGGTGGAAGAGTTTATCATTATTAGTTTCACTTTTGTTGATGTTAGTTTTATTTTGTTTCCAAACATTGCAGGCTGAAGCAAAAATGAAGAAAGCTGGTACTGTAAAGCTCTTGATTCATCTTCTTCTACTATTTGCAAGTGTTTTGTTTGTCAGATTCAGGCTTTTTATGAAGAAATGAAGTATAAAACAACAGGAGACCATTCTCCCTGTTTAAATAGAAACTAAATGCATATCTGTGTGTATTTGAGTACTTGTAAGCAAGGGTAAAATCCAGACACAGTATTTGCATGGATTTCACACTTATTTATTATGAAAATGTCATATGCATGTGAAAATGGAGTAAAAATTTTCACCCTTGTGTGTGAGAAATGGTGTTTTTACATGCTTTCTGGCTAGAGTGTAAAGCCTACAGTTGAAAAAGTCAGATTCATACTTGTTCTTGAATGATCCCTAAGTTTTAAACTGTAGATATCTATTATACATTGTATTTGTTTAATGGCTTAGTGAGTCAAGGCACCTTTCATATTTAATATTTCTTACTTCATATGGTATGTGGAAAGGTGGTTTAACCCTTAGCTAACACAATTGAATCTCTAAGTTGCAAGACAACTTTCTCATTTTTTTCCTGTATGTTTGTGTAGCTGAAGATTATAAATCTATTGTTGAAAAGCGAGAAATAATTAGAAATGACTTTCATGACAGAATGGTGGATGCTTCCAAGGTATGAATTATCATTATGATATTTACTTGATCACAGTGATTATCATTATTCTCATGTTCATCATCATCATTGTCGTCGTCGTCGTCGTCATTGTCGTTGTCATCATCATCATTATCATCATCGCCATTGTCAGCATGTGATTCTCTGGACCTCTTTCATCTTCCAACCAGTGTTTCATTTTGCATCTTATCTCTATATAGAGTTTCAATGCCTCTCTATTTATTTAATACTTTTTGTTACATCTGAGCACTTACATTGATATAAGAAGTGCTGGCTATCCTCTTTCTCTTGCAAATTTGGGCAGTATTTTGAGAATATTCCAAGAGCTTCTATAACCAGAGGCAACATTTATGTTTTTAGGCTTTTTAAGTCTAGAGTATGAAAAAATGGACAGTGAAAGTGATAGAGTGGAAAATAAAGGAATAGAGAAACTCCCTGGCAGATGCATCGGCAACAATGCACCAATGTGTTGGCTTTTGTGATTCAACAAATTTACAACATGCTAATTGTGGTTGCTTATTTCTCAGGCAACAGTACTGTTTATCTTTATTGGATAGTGATGTTTTTAAATTGCATTTTGAAGAAGTTTATGTCTGGATTCCTCTGTAGAAATTCCAGAAGATTGATGAAGAACACTTGAAGGTAATAATTACTTACCTTGAACAGTACATTGACTCTCAGAAGTCAGGACAAGTTCTTATTGAACAAGTAAGTTTTTATCATTTTTACTCCTTATAAATGAAGGTGTCTTTCTGTAATCCCTTGCATGAGTGGAACTGCATTTTTCTACCTTGTAATACCTTTACTACATTTTCTTGATATCTTAGGTTTACAAGGAGTTCTTAGGGCAAGTGAAGGCATTAACAATACATCATTTGTTGGATCAGTTTGTGAGGAGCAAGGGTACTGGCAAAGCCATTCCAGGTAGGTGCATTTGAATTTGAAATTTCAATCCTTATCTCAGCAATCTCTTACCTAAATATCTGAACTGTGTAAATTATGATCTGCTGGCTTTAATCTTCTCACATGCATAAATAAAATAAATATCGTTTAATCCACTCTTTGCAGTGGAAACTATGTACAAACTGAATCATCAAGCGATATCATTTACAAAACTGTTAAATCTAATTAAAGTATAGAAATGTATTGTCTATGTAATAATTAATCTAAAAATCTAAAAGTTATAAAGTCATTAGCTCTCTTGGTTCTTTCCTCCTGGTGAACGGACTTTTCACACCCAGATCTAAGATTATAAGGAACATAATAAACATTGGCTTGAGGGCAGAGTTTCCATGTCACAATGAACTTCCTACTTAATGTTTCTTGCCTGACTTCTAGGCTTGGAGGCCAGTTACGTTCAGGGCTTCCTTATAAGTAACACCTGGAAAAACTACCTTATTAAGGGCTCTCCTTTGTATAGTTTCTAATTTAGGTGACAAATATTTATATTAAATTTATATTAAAAGGGTTAATTGTTTAATAAATTAGTGTAAAGTTGGAATTTCTGCCTAAAATATCAATATCTTGTCAGGCAGGAAGGTGGTGGGAAGGGAAAAATGATCAACAGGCCCCAGTTGTTCAAAGGTTGGATAATGCTATCCGGGAATTAAATCCTTATCTGGTGGATAGTGCAGTACATTTTGCTATCACTTATCTGCTGGATAGCCATTTTTCCATTGGATAGCATCGTCCACCCTTTACACAACTGGGCCCTGGAAAATAGATCAATGTAACATCAAATTCATCACTAAAATTTACAGGTAAAACTTCACTTTGACACTTCCCTTTCATCTTACTTACAGGAAAAAAACACCCAAGTGACCAGAATTACTTTTGTGTTCCATTCTGGAAGAGGACTCCAGTTAACCTTTCAAGTCATGTAAATCTTTAAAATTTGATGTTGCCTTCTTTTGCAGATGTTATAACATTTGAGGAGTACAGCGGGCAAGTAGAAGGTGCCATGACAAACAATCACTCACCCAGCTTGAGTGCACCCAAACACCATCATCCATCAGGTACTACTTTTAAAAACAAGAGTGTCTGTTACTTCTTTGAGAAACTGTAGATCCTGACAAATGAGAGGTGACACTCTAACATTAGATACTTGTTGCTGTTGTAGGGTTTCCAATAACATTGAAGAGAATAGAAAAGAAGAAAAAGAAAAAGAAGGCAAAGAAGGAGAAATCACAAAATGGTTCAGTGTAAGTTAGTTTGCCATTACAAGACTTGGAAAAATGTTTTGGTAAAATACACTTCTATTTTACATAATAAGGATAATAGAAAATAGAAATTCTCTATGTCATTATAGGATTTCTATAGCGCTCACCCTGGAGTTTGGAGTGCTTTACAATATGTACAGTAATAATGATTGTAAATAATTAACTAAATTAACCAGGGAATAATACTAACAAATTAAATTAGTATTAATAGTACACTGCTACGTTACATTCTGTTTCAGCCTTCATTAATTTTTATGATGTTTTTTTACCAGTGACTCACCTTCAAGTGAAGGAGGGGATGTGGTAAGTTTTCACTTCACTGCGGGATATTTTATTAATTATTTCTTTTCCATGATACCATCAACCCCACCAATATTTGGGATGAAGACTTAGAATAAAGATCAGCAAAAGTCATTGAACTGTTTAAAAGTTATTACTTTACATACTGCAAGCTTCAAGTAACTTTACATGGGAAAATTCATTTTAGAGTGGTTTATTATTGTGAATTGTATATATAATCTCTCCTTGATTTCTTTTTACAGTCCTCATCATTTGAAGTAGATGAAGAAGGATACAGAATAAGACCTCCTGATTCAGAAAGTATCCTTGTATTGATGACTTCAATAAAGTATAGACTGTTATAGGAAGATATGATCATTGTACAATATTTGTATACACATATAATTATATTTTGAGTCTGAAATACTACATGCCAGTGTCTACGAAATACATTTTTTGTGACCTGTTTTCTTAAGTCATACCAAGGGACAGTGAATAATGGAATTTAGAGCAGTTGATATTTATGAAGGCAATGAGAAAACAAGAACAACACTTCCTAGCATCTATTACTACTGTGTGTTGTTAGTGAAAATGATATATTTCTTGTAAGGTTCTGTCATAATTTTTTCCTGTATTTGTATTTGCATTTGATTTCTCCTTGATAATGACCTAGGTACCAAATCAGGGGGGAATAGTTCATCTTCTGATTCAGATTCAGATGATGGTAGGTCCTTTAATTAGATGAAGTAACATAAGAGTGCCCTGTTAAACCCTTAGCCAATTATCTAGCATGGAAAATATTTTTCACTCAATCACTATACTTAGTGTGTTGCAAGTCAGACCAGATTCAGAACTTTGTGGTTTATTATTACTTTACATAGAGATATAAAACTGTTAATCTTTGGATCTTAAAACAAGGCAGCCTTAACCTTACCCAGTTTACCCTTTGACTCCTGAGTGACTAGCATCTGCTATCTCCTTACAATAAGGGAAATTATTATACATTCTCTTATGTCATACCTATTGAGAATAGATTTTATATTATGTAGAAGTGACATCATACCTATAGACAATATTTTTATGTGCTCTTGTCTTTACAAGTGCAGCTCAGGAATATGCATATAATAAAACAGTTATTGGATTTGGTGTTGGCATAACAGCAATAATTATCAAGGCCTCAGTTTGTGTTCTTGGCCTCATCCTTCAGCTTCAGCAGGTAACACAAACTTTAGCCTTGAGAATAATTGCTATCATGCTCAACCTCATCCAATAATTGTTAATTATCACCTGACTAAAGAAGCACTTGATTGTCAATCAAATTCTCCTTGGTAGCACCCTAGGAAATGTATGGAGAACAGTATGGAGAATATGAATACTGAAGTTGGGGTATACAGGGTTAAGCATAACAGAATCTTCAGCCATCAGAATCACTTTTAACCTGATATTTAGCAATATGATTGCATTTACTTATGTCAAACTTATTAACAGACTTTTTTTTAAATCAAGATGAGCCTAGGAAACTGCAAGTTGTTATAAATCCAGTGGAAGCTGATAAGAATCCACCAACAGCTTCAGTTGATGAAATAAAGAAAATTACAGGAACGCTTAGTCTCTCTTCGCCTTCATCAATGGTTAGTTTTCTTCTTCTTTTGTTTTTTTTTTGAAATCCACTGATTAGAAATTGTACTGTTTATGTCAAAAACCAAAATTGACTATTTTTGATACATGCTCATTTTTTGGTTGTTGTTTTCTTGTGACACCAAGATAGTGGCCAACTTCTTAGATAACAATTTACTGTTAAGTAATAATTATTATTGATATACTTTGCTTTTTTGTTTTCATGTTATCAGCTTTTCATTTCAGTACCTTATGATATGCTTTTCCTGATAAAACAAGATTTTTGTTTTCATAAGCATGCTCAATAGCCTATAAAAATTTTTCTTAGACAGGTACCTTCCCACAAGGTAAACATATTACTTGACAGTTACATGATTGTTTCTTTTTCTTTTTGTTTCTTCCCTTCAGCGTAAAGGTTTAAGTTCTTCAACTGGTAAGTTGACATTATTTTGTTCACAAATTTTTTGCTTTGAACATTGGAGACACGGTTTCTTACAAACATCTTTTTGTCTCTAGGTGAAGTCATGAAAAACAGATCCAGGTCTTCAAGCCATATGTCAAATATAAAATTGTGAGAATAATTATCTTGTCTTTCCTTGTATGCAATTCCCACAGCTTCCCCACAAGAAGGGTTGTTGAAATTTCTATGTCCACAACAAAACCTAACTTTTAGTGTCATGTTTTGTTGTGAATTGGTTTTTTCTAAGCCTGATTATTTGTTGTTCGTAGTATCACAGTGACTATACTGTATTAAATTTTGCACCTTCATTTGTTGTCTTGATTTTCTTACAGGTCACGTTCAAGTGATGACTTGTTAGACATAGATTTTAGCCAAACAAGTTTTGCCAGTACTGATTCTATGACATCTGGATCACAAAGAAATTCGCTTCAACTCTCCCAAAATGGTGCTTCGAGTGTAACTGATTCTGAACCCAACACACAAAGTTCTGGAGACTTGAAATCAATGGCAGCAGCTTTGCCTTCTTCCACAAGTTTAGGTATTGCAGTTCACAAGTTTTACACGTTGTGTCATACTTAGGAGTTATAGTTAGTTAAGTAGTTTATTGAACACATTTTTGCATTAAAAAAAATTGATTACGATAATTATGTTTACAAAGGATGATAAAATACAAAATGTCATATCTGGGACTGGGTTAAAAATGTTAGTGATAATTATTAACTCAAACTGTGAGTAGACTCGAACTGTATACCAATATCATAGCAGAATTGTATATTCCTCAGTCTAATTTGCTGAATGATCATCTCCAATGCAGATTCCAGTGAAAATGTGGAAGCCGAATATTGTGATATTCCACCCTTGCTGCCTGCTAAAAAGGGAAGCATAGTGCAGGAAGAATCTTCAGAACCTCCTCCCCCCTTGCCAATCAAGAAGGGCACAGCTATTGCTAACAAAGTAGCAGAAAATGACTCAGCAGTAGCTGGAGGTATGAAATTTGATTTAAAAATTCTTTGGCTGGATCATTTGCCATCATTCATGCAATTTGAGTGTGTTTATACAAAGCAAGCTAAAATCAAATGTTTCTCTGTAGTGTCAGAGACAAGTTCAGGTGATACTGGAATCATGTTTCAAACTGGATCTGCTTCGGCAAGTGACAGCAGTAATTCTTTGCTTCTCCTCAAGCCACCTCCAGGAACCGAGCTACCCCGTTCTGCATCTGTAGGTAGTGCAGTGCCGAGGCCAAGACCACAGGTAGATATTTGAAGATCAAACCTTTTTTGTGGGTTTGGTGGGAAAAATTATAATTAAGACTGATCTTTTTCCACGTTTTTTATTGTCATTTTTTGTTTTAATTTTTTTAGCCATGGTCTTCTAGTTCATTGTTGTTTCCTACTGGTCAGTCAAGCAAGCCACCTTCAACAACATCATCATCAACAACATCATATTCAGCCGAACTGTTCAGCTGCCTGGCTGACTTTACACCAGTGACTTCCAGCAGTACAGAACCTTCTGAATCACAAAATAGTTCTCTCGCTGGTGAACATGGAAATCCAAATAGTCCCTCTAAACAACCTGTAGTAAGTTACATGGGTTCAACAACAAGTACTGGCCAACAAGCACTCAACAGAGCCACAACAGTATCCTCTCTTGGAAGCTCGCAAGAAAATGTACCTGCCCTAGTACGGTCCAAAACAGTAGGGGGACTCCCCACTATGTCAAGTGTAGTGTTTGCCAAAGGGGCAGCTGGTACTGTCTTGGGTAAAAAGGACGATAGTCTTCCTATTGCAGTGGCATTTATTGAGTCTGTGAATGCATTCTTTAGAGGAAGTGATCAGAGCAAGTGAGAACTTGATTTGTTTATTGTACTTAATTGTTTTGTAAGAAATAGACAACTTTTTTGAGAGACGTGTTTCGGCATGCTTATGCCATCTTAAGTCAATGAGTAACAGAACGTGAGTAATTATGTAACAGACAAGTAGATGAATAAAATATTTACAGTATGATGTAATACAAAAGTGGGTACTAATTACAACGCGACACCAAACATCAAAGGTGTGAACTAAAACATTAGAAAAGTGTTATAATGCTGTAATTGTTTGTTAAGTTCAGGTTTGATCTTATTTATATAAAAAGCTTCTTTGAGTTTTAAATCAGTCGAGTTGTTAGCAGAATCCAGAATACTAAAGCAAGAAAGGGAGTATTTGTTCTTACAATATGCGAGTTTTTATTGCTTTCCGTGTGCTCCTTTATCCTAGTAGAGAAGTGGCGACTAGTTTCGCCAATATAATGGGAATTACATCCCGCATAATAATTATGTTATGTTAAATGGAGTTTCATGGGGTTTCATTAAGAAATGTGGTAGCAAGATAACAATTTCACTTGACAGAGAG